GAAAGTGAAAAATAAATCAAAATGACAAATTTAATACTTGCAGTTTCCTGTATAAAACCAAGGGGGAATACATGCTACAATATGGATGGAGCCTGAAGACATGCTGAGTGAAATAAGTCAATCACAAAAGGACAAACATTGTATGACCTCACTTATACAAAAAGACAAGAAAAGGCAAATGCATAGAAACCAAAGTTTATTAGTGGTTACCAGGGGTGGTAGGAAGAGAGAAAAGGGGAGATTATTATTTACGGAGTACTAAGTTTTGGATTACAATTTGATTAAGGGTAGGGTTGCACAGCCAAATACTGTAATTGCTATCAGTAAGTTGTACACCTGTAAAAAGTTGAATCAGCCAAAGTGTGTGATAGATACATTTACAACAATGACAAAAAAAAAAAAAAAAGGAGTAGCTGCTGAGGCTGCTTGTGTACAGCCAAACACCTCATGGGATTTGGTTCCTTGGTTTGGAGGTTTTGGGTCATGGTTTCATGGACATCCCAGTTAACTGGCCTAATAACTTGTTTAGTGCTTCTGTTCTACCTCCTTGTTTGCTGCATAATGCCTGGGTCTTAAAAGCTTGCAAGTGGCCATCCTAGGCATAACAATCGTTGTCTATTCACCTGGAGCAACAAAGGAAGAAGGAGAGTCAGGAATAGGAAAAGGAAATGGAATGCATGGCTAATTGCCTCCATGAACAACTGCCTCCTTTGCCATAAGACCAGAAGAAGTGGATGGTGCCCGGCTACCATTACTGAACATCTTGATCAAAGATTCTATAGAAGAATCCTGATCAAAAGGGAGAAAATGCAGAACAGAATTACAAATTCTCATGGAATCCTGATTTTCTGGAGCCATGGAGGCTAGATGAACCCCTGAAATTATTACCCTAAGATTATCTCTAAACCTTAAACCAAAAACATCCCCTGAAGTATTCTTAAAACCAAACAATAGTTTAGCTTAACCAGTAAAGAATATCTGCCTTTAGCATTATGCTCTTTTAAGAACTATCTATATGGGATCAAACTGATAACATTAGATAGGAACCTTAAGGGGCAGTGAGTTTAGGTTAATGGGGGAAGAACAACTCATAAAAGGAGAGTAAGAATGGTTGTACAATTTGAAGATTGTAACCAATGTCACTGAATTGTACGTGTAGAAACTGTTGAATTGGTGTATGTTTTGCTGTGTATATTCTCAACAACAAAAATAATAAAATAAATTATTTTTAAAAAACAGACGAGGAAAAGAAGCTATATCAACTATCTATAGGTTTTATTTACCCAAAGTGATGCACAGCTCTCTTTCCCATAAATAAGAGCTAACCCGAGAGAGAGGTCAGATTTGGGATATTAATGTAAGCAACAGTCTTGTACACACGTTACTAAATATGTCAATATTTTAAAAAAGAGCTGTATAAAATCCATCCAACTTTAACAACAAATATTAATAAAATGCCCAGTACTTTGGATATGTATAAAAGGGCTAAATCAGACAGATGTAAAGAAATCATCTATTGTACATGTAGAAATTGCTGAACTGGTGTGTTTCACTGTGTGTATTTTCACCGAAAAAAAAATCATCTACCGTACTTGTATGCACATAATTTGGACCTTCTATGTTTGATTGCCAACCACGCTCCCCTACAAGATATTTTTGTAAGTGCATTATGCTCGATTTTTATATACCAACATGTAAAAAAAAAACTGGCGTAACAGCACTTATGAAAATACCTCACAGGTGGAGGGCACAGTCAGCAAACAAACACAGGAGGTGTGCATTATCTGCGTAAAAATACAGTAGTCCTATGGTTCTCCAATCTGGATGCACGTCAGAATCACTAGAGAACTTGCATTAAATTAAATAAATATTTAAAAAAAGGTCTGTTAGCTCCACAGAAATTCTGTAATGTTAAAAATATTCAAAGTACGTGAAACAACCAAACCTCTCCTCAGACTTTGTTGGTGGGAGTGGAAATTGGTATAGCCACTTTGGAAATGATCTGGCATCTTCTTATAAACAAGCATACACCTACCTATGACGCAGCATTTCCACACATCTACCTAATAGAAATGAGAACAAATAAGACTTGTACAACAATGCTCAGAGTGGCTTTATTTTTAAAAGTCAAAAACTAGAAAAAAAGAATCCAAATGTCCATGAACAGAACTGATAAACACATTATGTATATTCATACAGTAGACTACTGCTCAGCCAAAAAAAAAGAAACAAGCTACTAATACATATAACAACCCAGCTGAACTCCAACACTGTGCTACGTAAAAGCAGCAGGACCAGAAGCGAACAAGATTCTACTGATAGGAATTTCTGCAACAGAGACAGCAAATCTATGGTGCAAAACAAAGTGACTGGGGTGGGGTTGGGAACAAGAAAGGACACAGGGAACTTTCTGTGGTGATGGCAATGCCCTGTACTTTGATGGGGACATGGGTAGCAATTCAGGGTAAGATATGTGTGTTTCACCATATGTAAATTATATCACAATTTTTTTTTAAGTTAAAAAAAAAAATCTGCAAGCTAGCATACTGATCTAATTCAATGCTTGAGTAAACAGCATATAACTTTTGACATTTTTGATTCATTTTAGGACTCTAAATTTTAAATTAACAGCCAAGTCCTTCTGCTTTCTACAAAAAATAAGGGCAAAATAAAATAGAAAGAAAAGCAGTAAAAAGGAACTAGTACATACTAATACGTGCTATATGTAACCAGGCATTCTCCTATTGTCTAATCGTTACATCATTTATTTCTCACAGCTTCTAAAGATGGGCATAGTACTTCCACGTACACATGAGGAAACTTGGAAAAGTTACTAAATCTCCAATGCTCAGAAAATGTAACATATAAACATGTGTAAATACAAAATTGTTAATCATATAAATCCAAATAAACACTGGAATAAGATTTAAAAAAAACCAGGGAACTTAATTAATTATGTATGAAAATAAATAAATAAAACCATATAACAGTATGTATGTTAAGGTAGGAGTTTTCCTATTGTCCTGGCTGGATATAGAGACCTAAAGCTGGGAACAAAATCACACTAAAATATGCCACCTTGTAAAGACAGAGAGCTACTGCAGTCTGATGCTAACCCCTGCAGTATTATCAACAGGCACCTGAACAAGTGCTGCTACCACCCAGGCCTCGGTGAAGGAGAACTGGAGAGCACTGGAGAGAGGGTTGCACAGGAGAAAGTTATCAAATGGTGAGTAGAACCTGGCCTAGGGAAGAATGCTGGGCCTCTTCCCAGCACCCCAAGGAAGTGAGAGAGGCACTCCTAGACCCTGGCCCGTGAAGACCAGAAGGCCCACTGGAAGATAAGGTTGGCATGGCAGGAGGCAGAAGCCTTGTTCATCTGTCCCATGCCTCCCTAAGCAGGAGAAAAGAAGGGGAGAAATTAATTTGAAGGAGAAAGGAGAGCAGTGGAACAGTGCCTGGGTAGAGGAGCACCCTGTAGTCCAGTGATACCAGGAAAGGCAGCTGGCCTGGGTAGTCCTCCTGGTGACCCCAATGGATGAGAGGTCAATCCAGGGCTGCTCTTCCACATCTGGGAACTATACTATGGGACAGCCCTTAGGCCCCTGAAGAGCTCACATACCACCCGCAAGGCATTCTTAAGGTATACTTCACTAGAGGCAATGACTGGAGAAAAACTAAGTAATTTATAATACCACCAACTTTGGACTGTTAAATCTTCAAATCATTCATTAAATCAGAATGTTCATAAATTATATGCATTTGTTACTAAACAAGCCATGGTAATAACGTTCACAGGCCGTGAAAATCAAGGCTTACATTACAAATACCGAATTATATAACACATCAAGAATTCTAACCATCAGTACTTTACTTCCTTCCTAAAATGTCTTATGGAAAAATAAGACTAGAGTAGGGAGGGGGGAGTATTACATATTTTAGCAGTATGCATGAATTTTGCAAAGCAATACCTGAAAATATCATGAAACACATGCTAATTCCTTCTCTCAGGTTAACATAGCTAATTATCTGACCCATTTTTTCTTTTGTAATAATCAAGAGGAAATTTGAATTCTACCCAACAACAAAATGGTTGAAATGTTCTCATGATAAGGCAGCAACCAGCATACAAAATCAAAGACTAAAAAAAAACTTTAAATGCATGTTATTTTCAGCAAGTCAACAACAGTACACAGTACAGGGAACCTTTAAGCAAGGAACACGATGGAGAAAAAACAATCCCACTCTAGAAAAAAACTAGAGTAAAAGGAAAACCTCATAAACTTGATAAAGGCCTTAAAAAAAAAAAAAAAGCGCAATGGGCTCACTGCCCAGAGCAATACTAGAAGCTATGTAAGAATCACAGACTTTTCCAACTATTTTATAGATGAAGACATTGAGGCCTAAGGCATTTACATGACATGTCAAGTGTCAGAGAGCAAACACAAACAAGTACGCGATACAAAAAAAAAATTAGAAATCCTTAGCTACATACAAGTGGACTAGTAACATGTTACATCAAAATAGGCTATTTGCTCTTCCCAAATATCCCCTTCATTTCCTCACCTTTCTCCTCTCTATCTGGAATGTTCTCCATTCCATCACTATCTTCTGAAATCCTACAAGTCCTTTGCGGTTTATACCAAAGCCAACTTCCTCCACTGTACAGCTTTCCTCAATTATTCCAACTAGAAGAAACATATTCTAAAGCCCCACAGTGAATTCTGCCATATTTAAAATTTGTCATTTGTAATATATGCAAAAGACTGATATCTACCATCCTATCAATCTTTTCTCCCAATCCTCCAGATAAAATCAAGCACTATACCCTGCACACAGGAAGCACCTATAAAAATATACAAAATAAATAAAATGGAAAGAATTATTTCAGTTAGACATTATCATAATTATCTACTTTAATAACAATATTATAAAATTAATTACTCTAAAATTACAATAAATATTAATAGAAAACAATAAATACAATTTATAGCACTGACCCTTGGTGGCCCAATAATCATGCCTGTCCACCTTGTAAGTGTCATATCTTCGTCATCTTCAAGGCCCCAGCTAACTGTACCATCGCCTACTCCTTTTTGTCCTTCTTCGAGTTCTTCCAACAAGCGAAAATTACGAGGAACTTTAACTCCTATACAAGAGAATGTCAATATAAATGTAAAAAGCTCAAAATTATAAGAGCTACACATATTCAAATTCCGCTTTTTCCAAACTGAATTTTCCAAATTATTCCCAAAAATTCCCTTTAAAAAACATTGCTCTAAAAAATGCCAAATTTAAAAACTACTCATAAAGCACTAGACCAAACATTAACAGCAGTATTGAAAATACATATAAATTCCTAATGAACAGATTTTATACTGACATAAAGCAATCATAAAGAAACCACTGGAAAGTGAATACTGTCTCTAACTGAGGTTTCTATTCCTGCATTAAATAAATAGACATAATCAGAAAGTTCATTAAGAGCTAATTTCATCAACTTATACTCATTATAATAATTTTTTTAAATAAAATTATGTTCCATCTTAGAAAACACAAAAAGGTACTGCTTTCTAGAATGCTGAAGAGTCCCACCCAGTCTCCCTCCCCACTTCTCCTTCCTTGGCACTCACGCTCATCCCTTAACAATGGGGTCCTACCTCTCCCAGGTCAGCACCATCACATAACCATCACTTGAGGAGTTATTTGACTTAAGAATAAATTTCCTTACATTCCTAACAGTTTCCTAGGACACTTCCTTTACCTCCTTGCCTAACCTAGCAAATTTTTCACAATCCATTAACCCTTCTCATACCTCCACTCCATTTCATGGATGTTTCTATCCTTTAAAAACAAAACCTGTTGCTGTCCACTCGATTCCGACTCATAGCGACTCTACAGGTCAGAATAGAACAGCCCCACAGGGTTTCCAAGGAGCACCTGGTGGATTTGAACTGCCAATCTTTTGGTTAGCAGCCAAACGCTTAACCATTGTGTCACCAGAGCTCCTTCTACCCTTTAGATCTCATCATTTCTTACTCTATTTCTAAAATCTTAACACAAAAATCTTTCTCTCTACCTAGAATCTCCTATCCTTTCACAGTTCCACTCCTTCATTCTCACTGAACCTAGTCTTTGCCATCATTCTGACCCCTTGACTTCAACCACAATTCTTCCAATTAATTATAATCTTTCCTAGGATTACCGACCTGGACTCTCTACAAAAGGATGGACTCTATGGTCTTCCATGTTCTCAACAACATCTAACATTGAACATCCTCCATCCCCACCACAATACTCCTATAAAAAAATATGTAAATTCCCTCAGAATCTCTCTCCCCACCCCCCTCACTCACACACAGACACACACACACACAAGAAGCTAAAAGAAAAAGTGATTATCTCCTTAATAGTTATCATTTTGTGTAATTTCTCTATCCTGCTGAATTCAATACATCACATTCATTTACTTATTCACAGTAATCCTTCTATACAATGACAAGCCAGTAAGTTCTATAATGAAGAAAAAAATAAAAATTACCTACTTTGTAAAAAATGCTTTGTAAAAAAAAACCTTGAAAATCTTGGGCCACAGAAATGTAGGACTATTATAAATCACAGTAACAAAATAGCCATTACTACAGCTACTATAATTATTAACAACCATTTGTTCAACATATACTCTATGCCATTTTAAATAAATTATCCCATTTAATTCTAAAAACAGCCATTTTACACAAGGTCATACAGCTGTTAAGTGGTAGATCTAGTATTAAAATTTAGGTTTCAGACCAAAGTCACTCTTAACCACTAAGCTACACAGCACTACAAGGCATGTAGGTGGCACATCCCAGGTTTGACGACCCAGAGCTAGGAACTAGACTGCCTGAGTTTATCTCCCAGTTCTGCTGCCCACCTGATGTGTGACCCTAGGCACAGTTTTCTCATCTGTAAAACTGGGACATCAATACTTCCTACTTCACAGAATCATTATGAAAATTAAACAAGGCAATCCATCTTGTTGTTGTTGTTAGGTGCTGTCGAGTCATTTCCAATTCATAGTGACCCTATATACAACAGAACAAAACACTGTCCAGTCCTGCGCCATGTTTGAGCCCATTGTTACAGCCCCTATGTCAATCCATCTAGTTAAGGGTATTCCTCTTTTTCGCTGACCTTCCACTTTACCTAGCATAGGGACCAGTCCCTCCTGATAACATGTCCGAAGTACATAAGACAAAGTCTCGCCACCCTCCCTTCTAAGGAGCATTCTTAAACACAGTAAATGCTAAGGAGCATCCTTAAACACAGTAAACCCACCTTAAACACAGTAAATGTTGACTATTATCATTTTAGCTTTTGTATGAAGTAGAATTACCTAAGCCTTTTATTTCCTTCCATCTAAGTTGTGTGAAGAGTCCCTGAGTGGCGCAGACAGTTAAGTGCTCAACTACTACCCAAAAGGTTGGCGGTTTGAACCCACCCAAAGGTGCTTCAGAAGACAGGCCTGGTAATCTGCTTCCAAAAGGTCACAGCCACTGAAAATCCTATGGAGCAGTTCTACTCTACACACATCGGGTCACATGAGTTGGAATGGACTAAATGGCAACTAATAACAACAACAATCATTCCTGTATACATCAACAAGTTGTGTGAGAATAATAACTGTAAATTCCTGTACGGTCATCACTGGACATTTTATCCTGAGCTATAAGTTTCTATTCACATAACACTAGAACTTTTTTTCCTTTAAATGTACAGTTATGATCTTCACAATATATTACTTATTGAGTTGCTTTTTAAAGCAATCTTTAACAAGCATGATTACCCTTGCCATTACGAAGTTATTCCCCCAAGAATGATTTAAATTTGAGTTAAATTTCTTTGCCTCCTTCTTACAACCAATTCAGTCAGATGGCCTTTATGAACATCCAAACTACACAGTAAATAATGTGAAATTAATGTTTCTTTTTCACTAAAACTAAACCTACTGCTGTCGAGTCGATTTCAACACAGAGCAGTCCTAAAGGACAGAGCAGAACTGGCCCATAGAGTTTCCAAGGCTGTAGTCCTTACGGAAGCAGACTGCCACATCTTTCTTACACAGAGCAGCTGGTGGGTTTGAACTGTTGACCTTTTGGTTAGCAACCGAGTGCTTAACCACTGCACCACCAGGGCTCCTTTTTAGCTAAGTGCCCTAAAAGTACCAAACCTGGTAACCGCTAATCTTTTCAACAACTCTCTATCTAGCATTTTGGGAAAACAGTTCTAAGATTAACAGATTAATTCTTGGTAATGCTAACATTTAAACGGTTATAGCAGCTAACACTATTTTGTTTTTAAAGTTTGATGCTCAAAAACAAAATAAACAGTGAGCTCTATAGTGAGCTATATAAATTCAGGGCTAGAGTGCTCTAGTCTCTAGTCTTACTTCATCCGACCACCAGTGCCTGCAAAGAGGAAAAAGCCACAAGATGGTGCTGTTGCTCCATGAAAGCTACAGTGTATGCAGTCCATACATAAAATGCCTGCTGCACTTCCTTTTCTGTAGTTCTGCTTGTCTTTTTCCAGTATTCCTGTGCATATGCACGTGTTGTTTAACGGTTTTAAATACTTTAATCCCCTTAGTCTAGAATCTTGTCAAAAAAAGAAAAAAAAATAGCCCACACATCCACCCCTTTCTAGCTGAAACTTGTAAAATGCTGTCAATTTTTTTAGGTCCGTGGGGACCTCAGAGATCCAGTCCAAAATCCAACACTTTAGAGGAAAGAAAATTAATACCAGGTAATGTTAAGTGATCATCCGCAGGTCTCAAAACTACTAGTTAGTTATCAAACCAAGTCAAGAACTCAGGTCTTCAGGGTCCCTACTAATCCAATCTCCTACTTAAACTGGTAAGACCCAGAACTCCACAGGACTGCCTTGTTTTCTGAGTCTCTCAAGTTTTCTGTCTTGGACAGGGTGCAGTCGTCACTCTACCCCTTTTCTATCACTCTCTATTTAGTGAAAAATATTTGAGTTTTCCTTCTCTGACAGGTTTCCGCCTTACATGTATACGGACCCCAAAACCGGGGTGCTTGACATGACTAAGATGGCTGTCCCAGATCTAAATTAAACTCATTTTGAATCATTTTGCAGGTAGGCCTGAAATCTTCACTCCTGCTGCCCTGAAGACACAATTCAGCTTCTTGTAAAAGCTTAACTGCTTGTAGCACAGAAAGAAGCAACGGTCAAGACTTTAGCTTGTATGAGGATTGTTTGTTAATAAGATGTTTGTCAAGAATGTTTATGCAGCTTGATCCAAAAAGAATGCCTTGGTCAACATGTTCCAGGAGGTTAGAATTGATAATGTTTAGAAAGCTTGTAGCTTAATAACCCCTCTTGTAACTTTTGCCCTGTACCCTCTTCCCGCCTGCAAGCATGCAAACCCTTTGTTTACTCCACCCAGTAAAAATCTCACGGCCCCCCTGCAATGTGGAACAGTATGATACCTTGGCCTGGGTGCTATGGTGTGTCCCAGTTTCACAAACCCTTTCTTCTCCCAGTAAAACTCACTGGTTTCACTCCTAACACAGTCTAACACAGATGCTTTACTAAAACACACAGGTTCTGGCTTTTGCAAGTTTTACTGTACTACATCAAAATGAACCTCCATGGTGAGAGAGCAGACAAAAAAATAATAATATTCATAAGCAAAAACCTTGAATGTAAACAACCTAGAAAACATGCTTCCAGATTTTCATCTTAAAGATGTCAGATTACTAGTCACTTGTCTTTTAATTTGCAGTGATACCAAAAACAAAGGCATAAAGACTACCAAATAAGTATTAGGAGAGTGAGTCTCACCATGCTGTGCTTATTAAGGATTTTTCCATATCAACTCACAAATTTTTACATTTATCAAGTAAGAGGAAAAAAGCATAAAAAGGACCTTGAATAGTGATATATCTATCAATCTAGTCACGGACATATGAGCAATGATAGCAAAGCAAATTTAATGCCAGTTTGCAGCTAGTCATTCAAATTAAGAACTGAAGTAACACTTTAAAAAATAATAAAAAGGTCTAAAAGGCAACCTTTAACTTTGTACAGCAAGCTGTGGGCTCCTGTTTCAGCTCTGTAACCTGGGCCTGTTTCTTATCTCTAACT